CTTTCATGTTAGTCCTTCTTGGTTAAGTCTTTCAATTGGTTGTCCATTCAACATGTTAAACTCCATGATATCAAAGATATAGAAGCTCAAATGAATTTTGGTTCCCTTTACCAAGGTAGGGAGGACATAAAGAATTCCCAAACTTGAGAGAATATGTCCTGAAGGACTTTTTAATAACTTTGTTGTTGGGGTTAATGGCATGTGTTTCAATAAATCATGAGCAAAAGATGCAGACATGATATTAACACCCACAACTGGATTATAAAGAGCATCGAAAGGAGCTTTATTAATTTAGCAACGAGTGGATATAGAAGGTAAATCTAAACGAATCACGTTAGAGGAAAGCTCTGATTCTTCTAACCATTCATTGCTTATAATAGATACTAGCTCTTTCGTAGTCTTTTTAAGGAAAACTTCCTCAGAAGGGTTTAAAGGTTCTTCATAAGATGATTTCCTAGACTTCTGGGGTCTCCTCATAGTATGGTAATTCGAGGTGTTTTCATATTCATCAAAGAGTTCATCCTCAAATTCAAGCATGAAATCTAAAATTAGAGTTTCCTCCTTTTTCGGTGGTTCAGGATTTGAGACAGCTAAAGTTGATGATGGGTCTGGTAAGGATTCGAGTTCAACTATCTAGGATTTTTCCTCTAATGTCTTCTCTTCTAGTTCTTCATGGATGTTCTCTAAGATTTTTGTAAGAATGCTTCTCCCCGAATTGACGGAGACATGCAAGAACGAACCTCTCGAAGTCGTATTAAGACGCCTCGAGGTTTTCCTATCAAGACCCATATAGAAGTGATGATGAAGAATGGGGTCTTGAATGGAAAGGTCAGGGCCAGTATTAAAGAGAGTATTAAAGCATTCCCAAGCCAAGCCTAGAGATTCTTTTTTCTTTTATTTAAAAGATGGAACCTCTAAATGAAGTCTGACTTCCCTAGAGATGAGAAAGAATTGCAAGCAAAAGCTAGAACACATGGCTTCTTAATCTCCTTGTCTACTCTCTATGGTGAGGTTGTACCAACGTTTAGCCTTTCCCGTCAAAGAGAAAGGAAAAAGCTTCCATTGTAAGGTTTCATCTGACATGTCTGCTATGTGCAAGCATGCACAAGTTTGCTCAAACTCATTTAGGTGGGAATAGGGGTTTTCATCATCTTCACCCGAAAAGGGTTGATACTGAACCATATTAATTAAATGCGAGCGCAGCTCATAGCCAGATGTTAGGATACGCTTTGAAGACTCTTGTGGCAATAGGCGTGCGCTCGTGGGTGCACCATATTGGTAGATTTGCATGGATTCTAGATCCATGGTAAAAGGAAAAGATAAAAGATAAAAAATAATGATACAAGGATAAGCTAGGTTCGAAGTTCACTCAGCAACTGTTTCCTCGGCAACGGCGCTAGAAATGCTTGTTCGTATAAATTAATGCACATAGAATAATCTGCAAGCGCACAGATATTATACCGATGTAGCACTTCACCGGGAGTACCCAGTTTTATATCAAACTCGAGGAAACGTGTGTGAGAATTATCAAATCTAACTTAACTCAACTTCACAATCAAGGCTAGATAATAGGAGCGTAGAGGAGACTGCTAAGGTTGTCTACTTCTAACTTTGGTAAGCTTTATCTTCTATTGTTTAATTCTAGGGATATTACTAGAGAAAACACAGGCAGAGTATGTTTTCTATAGTAACAAAGTCCTGCTAGGCCTACTAACGAGAGGTGGACTACAGAGGATTCAATGAGGCAATAAGAGTCACCCTCAGGAGCTACCACCGATCCAGAAAATAGGGTACATCCACGAGTAACTGAGTCTAAGCACCACGCTTACACTATGAATACTACTTTAACCCAGGAGATACAAGGATTAAAGTACTCAAAAGAGAGTCGCAAACCTGAAGAACGATATGAACAAGATGCTTACTTGAATTAGAAGTCGATTATCAGAGAAATCTCAGAAGCAAGCTCAAGAAGAACTTGATTCCGCCAGGGTACAAGCCGTAGAGAGAGCACCGATAGGCCGGGACTCCTCCGAAACTCTTCCCTCTCACTCTATCTTAATATCTCTAATACAAGACTAGATCCTATGAAGGACTAATCTTCTCTTGATTGCGAGCTCTGATCCTGGTGGAAATATGGATTAGGGTTTCTGGCTTTTCAGCTCTCAGGATCAAATGAGGCATGCCCTATGGGGGAGGGGTGCAGGCAGATATATATATAGGCTGGAGCATCAATCCTCAGCCCTCGGATCAAACTGACTTGAATAAACGGTGTAGATGCAACTTAGGAGGCAGTGGAGAACCGACATAGCAAGGAGCCTGACAGGTGGGACCCACAGGGTCTGGGCGGCACATGTTAGTGACATGTCTCCCGCTTCGGTGGAGAGCCTCCTGGAGTTTTCTAGAGTCTTCCCACGTCGATTACGCGGCGTAATTTTGTGATTTCCTTAGACGAATAGGTCCTCCTTGGCGGTTTTCTGATTAAATCCTATTGAAAACACAGATTCACCAAAACTCATTGAATTTATCAGTTAAAACCTCTAAGTCTATGTTGGTGATATATTTTAGCCATTTATGCAAGTTATATTGACCGTTTGTAATGAATGTTAACTACCGTCAACATGTACCTAGCTAGAAAAGTCAAAATGACTTATCTAATTTAGAACGGATGGAGTATTATGGATGAAGGATTCCTCCCATGTATTAGGGGAGCCTCCCATAAATGACCTCTGGTATTAGGGCATCCTCATCTAAACTCTAGTATTAGGGTCTCATCATCTTAAAACTCAGGTACTAGGGGAGGAGGACTCAGGTATTAGGGCAGAGGTCATCTTTGAGGTGTTAGAGGGTAGTAGGTTTTGAATGGCCGAGAACCTTTTTTTCCTTAGAAGGGGTTGAGATCGAAGGACTACTGGAGCACTTAAATTCTTCGAAAAAAATCATTTTTTCGCACTTGGGTTTGGGATTCTCACAATCACATCACAATTTGGTCATAATAACAACATTGTTTTAAAAGAACAGGAATGCTAAACACCACACGAGTGTTTTAACACCTATAAACACATGATTTTTTCCGTGTTTCTGACATGAGGCTCCGACCGACTCCTCCCCTCCGTGCTCCCGTCCTCCCCTCCACGTGCTCTCTCTCTCTCACCGGCGACGAGACCGGCGAGCTCCTCCCGGTGCCCGCGCCTTCTCGCGCCTAGGCGACGGCGCCGCGCGCAGCCCCCGGCCGGACTAGACCTCCGCCGCCACCATCAGGCTGGACCTCCACCGCCGCCCTTAGGCTGGACCTCCGCTGCCGCCTCCGCCGCCGCCCCCGTGGCATGGCCGAGCCATGCCCGCTTCGCCGCGATTTGTTGCTTGTGATCTGTGCCGACACAGCCGCGATTTGTCCTTGTCCTTTCATAGAAAAAAAATTGTTTTCTCCTGGCACTGTTTATCTTCTTCGTTGGCACAGATAACAGTAAATAATTTTTTTCTATATCCGGTCGGCGGAGATGGCGCCACAGCTAACCGTAGTTGGCGGCATGGAGCGAGATGGACGTGTTCCGGGCTCCAGCGCGACGTCGTTTCGTGGCGTGGCGTGGGTGCTGAAGTCCTTGGGTCGGCAATGGCAGCAGAGGACAAGAGAGAAGAGACACCGGCTGGAGATGCCGAACCAGGGAGAGAACGAGAACGCGCCGACGCGAGGCGAGACCAGTTCCCTCAGCAGCGTGGCGAGACAGCAGTGTGCGGCGTCCAAGTCGGTGAGAGGAAGGTGAGGGACGCGGCCACGCGGGCCTTTGAGGGCTGGGCCCATGCCAAAGGAGAAAGGGAAAGGGAAATAAGGCCCAGTGCGCCAGAAAAATCGAGAAGGTATATGGGGTTTTGGGATGGCAGATTTGATATGTTGAAGGGTTTACACTTCGGAATAGTTTGAGATGATTTAAAAAAAATTATGCAAGTTTATTCCTTTTTATAAATTTGATTAAATTAATGTAACCTTGTGGTACTTAGCCACCTATCTTATGTTCACTTTTATAAGTTTCATAATGTTCAATTTTTTTTTGGAGTTTTCCAATGTTTTCATACTTTCTTGAGAGTACAACATGGGTTGTCCCTGTCCTAATGTTTCATCTTTGCCCTTAAGGGCATGCGGTGTCATCGCCTCTGGACCTTGTATTTGAATCTTGAATCCATCACACGTCTTTGTACTTTCTTTGTCCTAGCCCTTCCCCTATTTTTAGTTTTGTTCTCCTCGAATATACTTCCTGCATTCTGAATTATTAGTTATTCTTGTTTAGACATGTAGCTTTTACCACATTCTCCATTCTTCCCAATCTCATTCGTTCTATCTTATTTCATGACAGATTCAAACATATTCATCCTCGGTTACAAATAAAGAGGAGACTAAAAGCATATTCATCCTCGGCTACAAATAAAGAGAAAACTGAAAAAGTTGGGTAATTACAAAATAAACAAACCACATTTCATATTGGAGCATTAGACTTGATATATGATACCAGTTCTTACTCTACCTTCTCGTATATGAAAGGGCAACCTTACACATTCCATGACAATAAGGAACTAGAAAAAATAGAAATAATGTAAGTTGAAGTTGGTACCAATCCCTAAAAAATAATATGTGGATTAATATTTTCAGTATCCTGATCTGCATGCTAAAAATCTTAGAATACTACTCTCCTATAAAGTTGAAACGATGGTGATCCTATTATACTACGGTAAAGCTATAATACACTTAGAGTGTTTCTCTCCCTCTAAACACTCGATTCCTCTCCCTCTCATTCTTCTCCATGTCTGGCCTCTCCACCTCCATGGCTAAGATTTTTTTTTTTATCATTGGGGTTGAGATTAGAGAACTACTGGAGCACTCAAAATAAAAAAGCAGTTTAAAAAAAAAGAGGTTGGGATTGGAAGATTGCCGTAGATGCTCAGAATAGCATCATAATTTGGGCACATAACATTATTTTATTAAGAGTAACTCTAGAAAGAGGGCTAGCTTAAAGATAATCCAGCCGACAGGCCGGAGACGTTCCGCCTCCGATCTTGGGCTTGCAGGAGAGCACGGCGCCGCCGCACGAACCGTACTGACAGTACGTCGGCATGATGACCTTGACGTCCACCGACGCGTCGCCCACGGCGAGCTGGTCCCTGAGGAACCGCGGCACCGCGACGTTCTCGCCCGACGCCCTGGCCGCCACGCGGTCGCTCCGTCTCTCCCCAGCGCATAAGGGCGGCACGGAGCCGCTGGCGATGAAGGCGCCCCCGTACGAGACGTCGGCCCTCGAGAGGCCCGGGACGCACGCGTCGTGGTACGCGTTGCGCGTGTTGTCTATCTGGAACGTGAGGTTGAACACCGGGGAGAGCGCCGCCGTCGGGGCCCGGGTCGGGCTGCTGCTGTAGTCGACGCCCGCCGGCGGCGTGGTCGGCAGGTCGACGTCCCGCGCGAGGTCCAGGCCGGTGACGCCCGTGATGGCCACCGTGAACACGGTGTCCGGGAACTGGCGGTCGAGGAAGGTGGCCAGGAAATAGATGCCGGTGACCACCGGCACCGTGATCACGGCTGAGACGACGAAGATCAGAGTGAGTACCGCGCATTCTTTTAGGCCCCATGGTCGAAGCTGCGGCGGCTTAGCGGCCATTGTTTTGGTTTTTCTCCTGCAGCTGCTAGGGTTTTGTTTTTTCTGTCCCGATCTCCAATTGATCTTTGGTGTCGTTCGGGGAAATTGTCTCCGAACTAATATAATGTTTCGGCGGGCGAGGTGTTGCAACCGACCTCCGATATGATAGATCTCCAGATGATTTTATTTTCTGTTAGCATCAAACGCCGGGGAAGTCGGGGATCCATGCATCGACGACGTGGTATATTGTTAGGGTCGGCGGCCCACTCCATCCTGGCCATGCATACACGATGACTGACCATGTTGCTTGCTGCCTACTACTCCGCCATGCGCTCTAGCTGTAGCTCGTTCGGCGACCATGGCCAGTGACGACGTTGACCACGAGGTCCTCCTGCGCTATAGAGCTTCGACGCCATGGCATGGGCGCATGGCGCATACGCGCCTTGGCGGCGCCGGTGGCTGCCAGGCGATGCGCGCATGCGCAACGCGTACGTACGCGAGCCGGCGAGCGCTGGACAGGCGGTCGATCGGCGGAGATGGCACCACACAGCAGACCGTAGTTGGCGGTGGAGCGAGATGGACGCGCGTTCCGCCAGCGCGACGTCGTCGATCGTGGTGTGGGCGCTGAAGCCCTTCGGTCGGCGATGGCAGTAGAGGACAGGGACACCGGCTGGTGATGCCGAACCGGGGGAGAGAGGACGCGCCGACGCGAGGCGAAGATCAGTTCCTTTGCGCGTAACGTAGCGCGCAGCAAGCGCGGCGAAGTCGGTGAGAGGAAGCTGAGGGACGCGGGCCTTTGCATACTGGGCCATGCCAAAGGAGAAAGGGAGAGAGGAAGAAGACCCAGCCCGCCAGGAAAATCGACAAGGTATACGGGGTTTGGGATGGGCTGGATCTAGAGATACAAGAAGAGAAGGTCCATAGTTGATATATCGAAGGGTTTAGAGTTCGCAATAGTTTTAGGGGATTTTCTAGACTAGAATTTGACGCAAGTTTATTCTTTTTATAAATTTATTAATCATTTAATTTAAAAACGTTAATGTAACCTTGAGGGTACTTAGCCAGGAGAAGCTATGCACCGACCAGGGTGGAACCTAGCCACGCGCGGACCAGCCAGCATCCCGCATTGGTGATCGGAAAAAGTCCACATTACCTTTCTCAATTATTATGTAAGTCTCCTTTTCCTCCCTTATCTTTAAAACCGGATAAACCACCTCCCTGAACTTTTAAAACCATTCGTTTTACCTCACTGACCGGTTATAAGTGGTTTTCAAAAGTGGTTTTGTCTTTTTCTTTTTTATTTATTTCGGCTAAATTTTTGAAAAATCATAGTAAATCACAGAAAAATCATAAAATAAAAAATCTAATTTTGTTGGACTCCATATGAATAGATCTACACAGTGTGAACATATAATATGGTATGCTTTAGTATAAATTTTTTTTTTAGCTTTATATCTATTAATTAATTATATAAAAGCATAGATCTAAAGCTGCAACAAAATATTTATACTAAAGCATATCATATTATATATTCACTGTGTAGATCTACTCATGTGGAGTCCAATAAAATTGGATTTTCTATTTTATAATTTTCTATGATTTACTATGATTTTTCAAAGATTCAGCTGAAATAAATAAAAAACAAAAAGACAAAACCGTCATTGAAAATCACTTATAACTGGTTAGAGGGGTAAAACGAACGGTTCTAAAAGTTGAGGGCGGTGGTTTACCCGGTTGAGTTCAGAAAGAAAAAATAAACTTTCGCAAAAATTGAGAGAGGTAATATGGACTTTTTCCCTCGCGATTCTATCCCCCGGTCCAGCCCAACTCATGCGTTTCCGCCTCGTGCCAGCCCGGGCTAGCTCGTGTGGTGCGAGCGACATGTTCTCCAAGTTCCCGTCTGCCTTGTTCGTTTTCCTGTGCAGCGCAGGGTCGTGCCTTTCGAAATCCAAATAAAAAAAAGAAATATAGTAAATAAATAAATAAATAGTATAAAGGTAACGTGCGTTCTTCAATCCAGGGAAAAAGAAAAAATAGTAAACAAATAGTAAAGGTAAAGGAAATAGGTGCAAAAATAGTGTGTGGTTGTGTTGACCACAAGACATGTAGTCTAATAAACTCATTCTCCACCATCACACTAGATGAGTATTTTGTCTAAGTGTTAACAATTTATATTATTAAATCGTACTAGATCATTTAAGTCAAAGAAAAAATATTCGACCCTCACAGAAATAATGTTGTAAACCAAAATATACCATGGAAAATCTCATGAAATATGGCAAAAAGGTACATAATACAGAAAACAACACAAAAGCATAAAATTTATAAAAGGAAAACAAAAAATAATAAATGGATAAAATCCAGGTAATATAGGAAAATAAAAGAGAATATTATATGGACATTACTTGAACAACCTAAAATGCACCACAGGACAACCCAATTGTACTACTTGAACATCCCGAAACATATTGTAGAACATCACATGTATACTATGTACGTGTATTACAAGACACATGGGAGAAAAATAATAAAAATAAAAAACATGTACTAGATGAAAATTAAAAAGAACATCACATAGATTGCATGGAAAACTTTAAATATACCACAGGTCATCTCAAGAATATTATGTGAATACCTAGAGATAATCATAGAACTTCTCGTTTATACTATGTGAACATTCGAAAACATAGTGTAGAACATCACATGTATGCTACACGAACATCATATGCATTTTATGTAAGTATAAATAAAAAAGTAACACATGAAAAATGATAATGATAATCATTAAATTACTGTTAAATAAAAGAAGAAAACGATACTATATTATTATGTGAAATACTACTTGAACAATCTAAAATATGCCACAGAACATCTCGGAGATAATCATAAAACACCCCACTTATACTACTCGAACATCCAAAAACACATCGTAGAACATCATATGTATACTACGTGTATTACAAGACATATGGGACAACAAAAATAATAAAAATAAAAACATGTAATAGATGAAAATTAAAAAGAACATCATATAGATATTGAATGGAAAACTTTAAATATACCACAGGTCATCTCAAGAATACTACGTGAACATTCTAAAACATAGTGTAGAACATCGCACGTGTGCTACATGAACATCATATGTATTTCATGTAAGTATAGGAAATAAAAAAGTAAAACATGAAAAATAAATAATAATAATAATAATTAGGTTACGGTAAAATAAAAAGAAGAAAAAGATATCATATTATTATGTGAATATTCAAAGACATATCGTAGAACCTCACACGTATGCTACATGAATATCATATGTGTTTCATATAAGTATAGGAAACAAAAAATAAAACATGAAAAATGAAAAATTACAGTTAAATAAAAAAAGAATAGGAAAATAAGAAGGATCAAGGAAATGAAAAGAGTAAAAATTTAAATAATATCAAAAGGGAAGGGAAAATTGTGTTCTAACCCCTGTCCAGTAAGCTAATTGTGATTTTGCCATTGCTTTTTCAACTTTGTGTTTTTACCCCTATTATTTTGAACTGAATGGTCCGTTTGCCCCTGCTTCTAACGTTGAAAGGTCCTAATGGCTAGAGAGGAGTGAATAGCATATTAAAATTTCTACAACAACACTTAGCAAACCGGTTAGACAAATATGAGGCGAAGCGAGTGTTGTGCTAGCCTACTAAAAATATAAGCCACCTACCACAATTCTAGTTTCTATACTCTCTATCCACACAATGGCTACGTCATTACACCAAGTTAGTGTGCTCTCAAAGGCTAACTAAAGAGCCACACTAATCAAACTAACAAGCTCTCACGACTAGCTACACTAAAGAGCTTGACAACTAGTTTGCGGTAATATAAAGAGAGAGGGCAAGATGGTTATACCGTCGAGTCGAGGAATGGACCAATCAATCACAAGAATAAATACCAATGAAGACCAATCACCTCGGAATCAAATAATGACATAATGATTTTTTATCGAGGTTCACTTGCTTGCCGATAAGCTAGTTCTCGTTGTGGCGATTCACTCACTTGGATGTTCACGCGCTAATTGACATCACACGCCAAACTCTCAATAGTGTGCTGCACAACTAACACAAGATGAGGATCACACAAGCAATGAGTAATTTACTAGAGTACCTTTTGGTCCTCCGCCGGGGAAAGATCAAGAACCCCACACAATCACCACGATCGGAGCCAGAGACAATCACCAACCTCCGCTCGACAATCCTCATGGCTCCAAGCTGTCTAGGTGGCTATAACCACCAAGAGTAAGAAGTGAATCACGTAGCGAAACACGAACACCAAGTGCCTCTAAATACAATCACTCAAATAATACACTTGGATTGTCTCTCAATCTCATAAAGATGATGAATCAATGGTGGAGATGAGTGGGAGGGCTTTGGCTAAGCTCACAAGAATGTTATATCAATGCAAATAGCCAAGAGAGTGAGCTAGAGCCGGCCAAATAAAATTTATAGACACGCACAAATAGTAGAGTCGTTGGCTCAATTATTGGGCTGACTGCGGGACGACCGAACGCGTAGGTCGTGTGCACTGGACGCGTCCGGTGTGGCGACCAGACGCATCGGTGTGGCCGACCGGATGCAGGAGGGGTAGTGTTCGGTCGAGTCCAGAGAGCTCCCAGAGCCGCTCCACTGCGATCGGACGCGTCCGGTGTGGCTGACCGAACGCAAGAGGGGCAGCGTCCGGTCGAGTCCAGAGAGCTCCTAGAGCTGCTCAACTACGACTAGATGCATCTGGTGTGGCTGACCGGACGCAGGAGGGGCAGCGTCCGGTCGACTCCAGAGAGCTCCCACAGTCGCTCAACTGTGATCGGACGCGTTCGGTGTGGCCTGACCGGACGCACCCCTGCGTCCGGTCCTGTCTGGACCAACACCCGCGCCCCACATCACCACGACTTGACGCTAAACAGTGATTGCTCAACGTTCGGTCATTGTGAGTTCGGTCACCTCGACAACTCTACCCACGCCTAGCCAGAATACCAGACACGTCAG